ACAGCTGAACACATTAAGAAATGTTAGGTAGGGAGCGATAACGCGAGTGTAAATGAATTCTTTCATCACGGTTCAAGGTTATATAATTTTTAAGTTTTAGTTTTTGTTTGTCCTTGTTTAAGTACAAAGCAATACAATGTGCTATCTGAGCTCTATCCAACGAGGTTATCGAAACCCAATTTTTAACATAATAATCTCCATCAGCTTAATGATGAACCACTGTGGGAGGCGGTTGGATATGGGATCACTAAACATAATGTACAGAAAACTGACCTCCACTTTCTTTCAAGAGATACGTCATGGATTTTAGTTAAAGAATTTCTACTTACTCGCCAAGCTTTCAGACAATAAGTGTATTTTCGTTACTAGTCCTTCCTTCGAGTGGCTTTTCAGTATGGCTAGGGATATTCTCTCTCCAACAAGGTTTAAAATATCTGATGATATCTCTGAAACCGGGGTTTTTCTGCGCAACGGCAGAAATGCGAAGTTACTTTTTTTGCAAGCTCGATTCATCAGTCGTTTCTAATCCTTTGCTTTTAGATCTTATCTTAGTCCTAAACTATAATTTCAATTCGAAAAAGAAACAAAACTGAAACTGTTTGAATGAATACTCAATGTAAGCACTGATACAATTGTTTAAAATAGTCCACGAAACTGCCACTCTGTAGTGTAGATAAGAAGCTGTAAAGATACTACGTTCAAATACTTTTTAAAGAAAAAACCTAAAACATAATTACAACTACATAGGATTGTTTAAAATAGTCCACGAAACTGCCACTCTGTAGTGTAGATAAGAAGCTGTAAAGATACTACGTTCAACTACTTTTTAAAGAAAAAAACCTAAAACATAATTACAACCACATAGGAAACATTGTATTAGAAGTTTAGCGTACCTACAAGGAAAAGTAATCTGTGTCCATTACTGCTCTAGATATATTTTACGCTTGTACAATATAGGTGTCTAAGGATAGCAGAACATTTGAACTATTTTATTACACTTTCATGTAGGCAATCAGAACAATAGTTTCGTTATTACATTCCGAGCGTAGTTAAACAAACTGAAGTTACGAAATTAAAAACTAATGAACTGTGTTCTTCCGCCTTTCAACAAACAAAAGTAACATTTATTTGTGAAACTGAATAATAACTAAAGTGGTACACGAAAATCAAAAGACAAATATTATACATATATACACGCACACACACACACACACATATATATATATATATATACCTACATCATGTCAGAAAAAACACGTAGGTTCAAAAAGTCTTGATACCAAATGATAAAAAACCCTATAACCCGAGCACTTTCAAATGCTGGACCTTTCTCCTTCAGAGGCAGACTGAGAATGGTGGTGTATTCGAATGAGTGATATATAAATGGAGTTGAGTGACGTCATGAAGGTCATCTGGTCTTCCAGAAAATATTTAGTAAATGTTTCATTTTCGGTACAACGTGGCCGGCAACTAGAGCGTTATGTAAAAAGGTGATAGGGATATTTGTGTTAAAAATGGCTAAAAAAAGGAAAGAAATAAAACTATACTTAAGTGTTTAAGTCAAATAAAGGTTACTCTTGAAGACTGATTGAAAAAGAGATGTTAAGCTAATTAATTCATTCAAACAAGTGGGGAAAATTATCTTAAATGAATAGTAAGTTTTCGAAAAATTAGGGTTCATACAACGTGGAAGAAATAAGCAAAAAAATATAAATAATTTTCTGACAGAGATGAAACCAATCGTTGGAGATCACTGATTCCAGGATCTAGATTGATTCCACAAGGTTGAACAGTGTTTAGATTAGCAATCCAATAAGCTTGTTTTATCTCACTGTCAGCTTTAGTTCTGAATCCTGTTTCCATGCCGATGAGAGTAACATCGTTAATGATATGACGAGGGTGGTTAAAGTGTTGAGAAACAGGGAGATTTTTTCAGTGTTAATAGAAGACTTGTGGTTGTCGAAACGTTCTCTAAGAGTTGTTTATGTATGTCCTACATATTGGTGATTGGAGTTTTTACACTGTTTAAGGTAAGGAGTGTTTTGTATTACATAAGTGATTTCTTTGGACATTTTAAACTTTCTTTGGTTGTGCTTGTCAGTAGTCCTTTAGAGTTCTGCTTTTTCGGAAGGAGACAACGGGAACTTCAGGAAATATCTCTTTAAGGCGATCGTTAAGTTGTAGGAAACTAATTTTTTTTTTCAGAATTCGTGAGACGTTTCTGAGTTCAAAGTAAAGGTGATAATAAGAAGAATTCTATTTGAAATGTTAGTATTGTTCTGATTTAGAATGTTTTTTCACTTAGTGTTGTTAGCCTTTTTGATCTGTCTGTCGATTTCGGTTTCTTTACATCCTCTTTGTAACATGATGTGTTTTAGATCCTTGGTGTGTTTTCTGTAGTCTGTTTCATCTAAGCATATTTTCTTTATTCTTATTTCGTTTTTCTTTTCTTTCTTTCTTTCTTTTACTTTGGAGAGCAGTCACCTTCCCACAATTGTCTGCATGTAGTGAAGGGTGATATAGATGTGGGATGTGGTGGGGTTTAGCATCCACATCTCGATCTCCTAATTTATACTTCAGTGATCTCTTTTAATTTATGGATTTTACGAAGCACATAGAAATACCCAATTTCTGAATTACTTAAAATAACATCCTATTCTTTGTTAATATCATCTTAAATTCATCAACAAAAGTATTTAAGTTTTCTTTACTGAACGTTATGCTTTTCAATTTATCTAAACTTCCCATTTTTTGGTTAATCTTTGTATCGTTTAAACGTGCATAAACCATTTGATCATAAAATTGTTGGGTCATTATTACCCATATTTCATCTTTATTTGTTTTCCTTCCGCTCTTTTAAAGTTAGATTATCCTTCCCTTGTTTTTCAGTAACAGAATATAATTCAATGTTTTGACAAAATAACTGTAATTCCATGTTCATTCCTTGAACAGGATCAAAATTTGATTTACCTCTTACTAAGGATTCTTCTTTAGTTGGAACTTCATAAAAATATTCTCAAGTCTTAAATCCCTATTGAATTCATATATAGTTTCTGCTAGTTGTATTTTATTGAGTTTTTTCTGGGAGTAAATCTTAATCCTTTTTTTTAATAATCGTATTTCATTTTCTTGTAAATTTGTTTCTGTTAAATGAACAATTTTCAAAAAATTCTCATCCTGTTTATCTAAACGTTTTGTGGAACTTTGTCATATTTTCTAAAATTCATAGGTTTTTCGTATAATCTCTCTCTTCTTCCACTATGTGTTGTATCTTCCATCCTATTGAAATTTCTTTGTCTAAATCTTTCATCTCTTTGTTCTTGTATTTTTTGTTGACTTCGAACATATTCATCTCCTCCACACCTTTAGGATTCCATCTATTTATGTTGTTGTGTGTTTATCTTTTGTTCTCAATTTTCTTGTATTGTAGTATGTATTTTCTCCTTTTATGTTATCAACATCTTGACGATCTTCATCTTTATTTATAATACCTTTACTTTCAATTTTCCTTCCTCTCTCTAGATTTTCTCCGTCTTTTTTTAATTGTTCTATAAACCACATTTCCTTTTGTTCCATTTTTCGTCACTTCTTCTCTTCCCTTCTACATAAATCATTCCAATATTCATAAATGCTTCAAAAATCTCTTTATTCTCCGTTCTTTTATTGAATAAATTCCAAATTTTTGAGTCAATGTTTGTGAAATTCACTTTTTGATTTTCCATTCTAACTTCCAGAGCTTAAATTTTGATCCTCAACCTTTCTATTTTTTGATAGACTGTTTGGGCAGAGTATGATCATAACACGCTCTCCACAATCCACCAGAATACTATAAAGACCGACAACATCTTACACACACTGACCGGAAAACGAAAGGTGGAAGACTTTCGAAACGTCGTCCTCCACACTTGTGTCTCCACAACAGACAGTTGCAGTCCAATCTACAAAGTTTCATCCTTAACTTTTCTATTTCTAATCTTGTTCTCACTTGCTTTTCTTCATCTGAAATAGCTTCAATAATTTTTTCGAGTGTTTTCTTATTCGTACTCTCAGGTGAATGTTATATATACATATATATAAACACACAACACTGGCTGCTTTCACTAAGCGAAGTTGAATTTCTTCACATTCAGAACAATTAACATGAAATTTCCTGTTAGAACAAAACTTTATAAGTATGTGTAACTTTTTTGAAAACAAAGAACGCTGAACGATATGATTATCAACCACAAATGATTCTTCATTTATTCACTACAAACTCGAACTATGTTGTTTCCTATTAACGTAACCTGGGTCCTAAATGATTTATATTGCTACATTTTATACACTGTCTCAACCTCGGGAGACTGTGCGATTCCATCACCAGCAGAAATAACAGTGGTAGAACAAAACTGATTAACTACTCCTGACTTTGCGGCGTGATTAGTTGACCTAGAAGATGACTTTTTAGACATGGTGTGTTCAAAAACATTGGAGGTGTTCAAAATATGGGTCAACTATTCCATATTCTAATGCTACATGATTATATCGGAATTACTATCTGTTGGTATTGCGTGGATAATATATAACTAACAAAATATTTCCTGTTAGAACTAAAATATACTCCCATGATGAGAAAATGTGAAGAAGTTATATTGAAGACACACCAAGTATTTAGTGTAGTTTTGAAATACGCAAACAAAATAACCATATTCAACTGCCATCTAGTGGCTGAAAAAAACACTAGACATTAACAAAAAAAAAAGCATATCTTTCTGTCTCTGTCCTGTGTGGGCCAGTGTAGAAAGCCTCTTATCCTAACAGCCTGCAAGTGCCAACGAAAAAACTTAAGCCAGTCAGCAAATATAAAGTTAAAAAAATAATTTCTGTAACAAAATATTTCATTTCTTCATTTGTGATTATTTCTTTGCTTTAGATTAATTCCTTGTATATTATTTCATGAATGTTCTTTATAAATACTATTAAATTTATCTGCTGAGAATCAGTAGACCTGAATATCACAGATTCAGTTTCTATTTTTAATCTCAGATAAATAAAGATCTTAGCATCTGGACGCTTCACAATCTTTAAAATAAATGTTTATGAACAGGAGAACACTTTGTCCTCCTGAAGAAGAATAGTCAACTATTCAAAAGCGCTCGAGTTTTGGG